GGGGGGGGGGGGGGGGGACATAGGAGTCAGTGTGTGACGGGCCAGCAGGTGGTGTGGCTGCTGAAAACGAAACAGACACGCACCAAAGAGCCAGCGGCCGGCGAAAAAGAGGCCTATCCATAGGACCCAAACACCGAGAAAGCCGAACATCTTAAGGGAGGCGGGCGATGGGGAGAGGGACGGAGAGAGATGGGCGAGAGGGAGGACGAAGGGGAGATAGCTGGGGAAGGAGGGAGAAAGAGGGGTGGTGCTAGCTTGTCCGAGCGCGCAGCCCGCCCCCCAGGGTGCTCCCTGACAAAGGCCAGCCGCAGATCCCGCTCTCTGGGGAATGGGGCTGTGGTGTGGGCGCGCGCGCGCGCGCGCGAAGCCCGCTGGATTAACACCACCTGCCTGCGCCGGTGTGCTGGTGTCCCGGGGGAACGGGAGCGGGCGCGGAGGTGGGCAGCCCGGGACGGGGAGCGACCCTTGGCCCGGCCAATGCGCGGGTGAATGGGCCGCATCTGTCAATGGGCAATATGCACGCCTGTGGGGGGGGGGGGGCCTCTCCAGAATGTTGGAGAAAGGCGGAGGCACGACCACCGGCCGAACGGACAATGGATCCCCCCTCCCGCTGGGAGGGAAGGTGCTTGTGCGCGCGCGCGCGGCGGCAATGCCCGGGGGTGGGTAAACAAAAACACCAGCGCGAGAGGGATGTGTGGGACGGATGCACGAAAAACCGGGCCCCAGGGGGGAGCGGGCAGGCCGGCCGGGACCCCACCAAAGAGCCGACTAGACGCGGCGGCGTTGGGGCAACATCCCAGCGAACCGGCCGGGCCGGGCCGGGCCGGGCCGGGCCGGGCCGGGCCGGCACCCAGACCCGCCGGGCTAGCGGAGGGCGGATGTCCGGAAAATAGATGGGCCTGTCCCGGGGAACGTCTCCAGGCAAGAGAGTGTGGGGGGGGGGGGGGGCAGGGAGGGCGGTCGCCACCAGAAGAGCATGTACTGCAGAGCAGGTGTCGGTGTGTGTGTGTGTATTGACACTTGCACAACGGACAAGACCAGGGCGGGAGCATGCAATGCAACAGGGTCCTGCCCGGTCTTTGCCGGCGGCCGCAGCGGCCGCCGGCAGCCGCAATCGCGGGCCGACGAGAGGCGAGGAGACGCGCCGCACCCCCCGCCTGTTTGGCATAAAGGGCCCGATTGGTGGGATTCCCCCCCCCCCTCCCCCGCCCGCCCGCCCGCCCGCCCGCCCCAATGGCCTGCGCCACTGGGCGATTGCCCACAGGCCGTCGATCAGCCGCCGGGGTGAGGGAGAGGGAATCCCGGCAAATAAACACACCCACAGCAGGCACCGGCCGATTACGGGCCGGCCGAGGAGGGGCATTAAAAAAGATCCCTTTTCCGGGGAGTTTCGCACCGATCACGGCGGACGGCTCCGGGGCCGGTGGAATGGCATTCCTCTGAGGGCAGATGTTAGGCGCCGAGAGGGCCGGACTGGTGGCGAGGTTGAAGCAGGCGCAGGAGGCGGGCCCTCCAGCTCCAGCTTTTTGCTAACGTACCTACGGCCTTTCCATCGTGATCACGAAGGCGATGGGGACATATGGTTTCACTCCCATAGCACACCGTGGAGTTGGGACCGTGTGCGTCAGGGCTTCGGCTTTGCCGGGTCGCATATTTTTGTTGGTTGGGGCGTCCTCCGGGACGCCCCGCCCTCCTTTTAAACGAACCAATTGAAGTATGCCCGCGCCTCTCTCTCTCTCTCTTGTGCGGTTGCTTGTGTTTCGCGTGCGCGCGACGGTGAATGCGTCGAGGAGAGGCCCCCGGGGCCGAGAAGAGAGGAGCCGCCGACGCCGCATCAACTCTCTCTCTCTCTCCCTCCCTCCTCCTACTACGTGGGCGCCCACACCGGGAGGGGGGGGGGG